AGGGGCGTCGACCCGCAGGGGGCGATCGTGCTGCGGCGGCTCCTCACGGCGCACCTCCCGCAACACCTCGTGCGGGAGATCGGCGCGCCCGCGTGCCGCGAGCTACGGACGTTCGCGGAGACGCTCGACTTCCCGGCGCAGGGGCGCCCGGCGGGGGTCGCGGACCTCCTCGCCCAGCGGTTGAAGGCGCCCCAGGTCGCGCTCCGCGACGGGAACTGATCGCCCCGCCGCGCGACGAGCCCACCGCGCTGCGGAGCGAGGAGGAGGTTGCTGATCAGGAGCATCCAGGCGGGCGAGCTCAAGTTGGACGAGCTGACCGCTAAGCTGCGCAAGCCGGGCTAGGGGTCTCGCCGGGGCGAGGGGCGCTCGCAGCTCTCGCCTCGTCCTGCAGGCCCTGCGGCGGGGGGGGGGGGGGGCGCGAAGGCCGCCCCGCCGCCGAAGCCGCCAGCGGTGCTGGGGGGCGAGCTGGCCGAGGCGAAGGGCTCGAGGGATCCTCGCGCTGCGCAGGCGGGAGGGGGGGGGCGCGCGGGCGCGTGGGCCGACGCGCGCGCTGCGACCCCGAAGAAGAAGGGCGAGCCGAGCAAGGTGGTACCAGGCTCGCCTTGCGTTGCCGAGCTGAAGAAGAAGGGCCCCCCTGCCCAGGCGGCGGCCCGTGCCCCCTGGACGGCGAAGCGGTGAGCGTCGCCCCGCCCGAGGCGCCGCGGTCGGGCGCGGCCCTGACCCCCCCTGCTTGCGGCGGAAGCGGCGAAGGTGCAGCGGCGCCGATCGCCGCCAGGGGGGGCAGCATCATGGCGCGGGGCCGGGCGACGCGAGGCCGCCGCTGGAGCTGGGCGCTGCCCTGGCCGAGACGGCCACGGCTGGGGGCAGCGCTGCGGGGGCTCAGGCGGCGGCGCCGCCTAGACCGCTGCCGCTGCGTGGGGCGTCGGGGGGCATGGCGGCATGGCGCGGGAGGTCGCCCGCGGAGCTTGGTCGGCCCATGCGACGAGTCGACCTGGCAGTCAAGCAGGGTGCTGCCTCGCAGCGCAGGCGCTCCCATTCGAGAGAAGTGGCACGAAGGCCCGAGTTCGGTGGGCCCAGGCCGCCAGGGCGGTCGCGGCCGAGGCGTGAACCTACATGAGCGTGCTGGGCCTCAACCACATGCACTGCGGGGTCGCTCGGGAGACGCTCCGACTCGGGGCGGCGCCGACGCTGGCGCAGGAGACGGCCATGGAGCACGTCCGCTCGCGGGCGACGGAGTTTGCCCAGCAGCCCTGCGAGACCGTGGCCGACGCGGTCGCGACCTCACCAGTGGACTACAGCGGGGGTCCCATGATGCGCGCGCCCCCCTGCGTCCTCGCGGAGCTGGCCCCAGGCCTGCCGAAGAGGGAGCACGCGGCGACCCTGAGCGCCGTCGACTTCGTTGACGACGAGGTGGCGCGCTGGCTGGCCGACCCCGCGCTGGCGCTCAAGGCAGAGGCGGACTTCCTTGACCCTCCCCCGAAGGCGCGGGCCAACGTCGGCTCGCAGTTCGAGTGGGGGGCCCTGGCGATGCACCTCGTGGAGCTCGGGATCTTCACCGTGCTTCCCGCCGAGAAGCTGGCCCACGTCCGCGGCGAGCCTCTGCTGAATGGGCTCTTCGCCGTAGAGAAGAAGGGCGCGCGCGGGCCCGGGGCCAGCCGCTTCGCGAGGCTCTTCCTGAACATTGTGCCTGGCAACGCGCTCATCGAGCCTCTCGTGGGGGAGGCGGTCATGCTTGCTGGATCCACGAGCTGGATGTCGCTGCACATCCCCGAGGGGAAGCTGCCCCTGTGGTCGGGCGACGACCAGAAGGGTGCCTTCTTCGCGTGGCGGGTGCCCCGTGCATGGCACCGCCACATGGCGGTGGGGCGGCCCCCGGCGGGCTCGATCTTCGGAAGGCAGGAGCCCGGGGTGTACCTCGCGTCGGCGGTGGTCGCGATGGGCTGGTCTTTGGCGGCCCCCGTGCACCAGCACATCCACAGGCGGCTGCGCCGCCTGCCACCGCTGCTGGGCGCGGGGCTGCCCCCGCAGGCGGAGTGGCGCAAGGATGCGTCACGGCCCGTCGCCGCCGCTTTGGAGGAAGGAGACTCAGCGTGGTGGCAGGTCTACGTCGACGACTTCGACGCACCCGAGATCGTGGAGGAGGTGCGCGCCAGACGCTTGATAGGCTCGCTGACGGAGATGCAGGTCAGGGCGCGCGCCAGCTATGACAGGGCTGGCGTCGCCTACTAAGCGGACAAGGCTTCTTGCAGGCAACTTCGGGTCGAGCGCATGTGGGCCGACGTCGATGGCGAGTCGGGCCGACTGGCCGCCCCCCTGGCCAAGTCGCTCGAGACGATCGCTCTGTGCCTAGCCTCCTCCAGGCTCGAGGCCGTGCCGTGGCGGCTCGCCATGGCGATCCTCGGGCGCTTCGCTAGGCTCGAGTTTCGGAGGCCCCTCGTCAGCGTGCTCAGCGAGGTCTGGAGGCTGAGCTCGCAGCGTGGCAACGTGAGGTTCTCGGCGGCGATGCTCGATGAGCTGCTGGCCGCCATGCTCGTGACGCCGATGGCCGCGACCTCGCCGCGGGCCGAGATCGAGGGCACGGCCGCGGTCTCGGGCGCGTCAGAGATCGGCGGGGGCGCGCGCGCGCGTCGGTGGGCCTCCGAGCCGAGGCGGAGGCCAGCCTCAGCAGCGCCTCGACGCTGGACGAGCAGATGCACCTGGGGGCTCGCCCGCTGCAGCTGCCCGCAGAGCCCTCGGAGCCCTGGACGGTCACCAACCCTCTCACCACCCACCAAGCCACCCCAACCCAACCCGAAGGCTCAGATTTACCCTCGATTTCTAGTGGGGGGGTCCGGGAACGTCGAAAAAACACGTATGGAACCCTTACCCCCCCCCCAACCCGAAATTCGGGCCTTCGGGTTGGGTTGGGGTGGTCTGGTAGGTGGTCACCCTCTCATCCCGCGGGCCGTGATGCTGAGGACGCCCAATGTGCTCCTCGTTGGCCTGTTCGACGGGATTGGGGGCTTGGCGGTGGCTTTCTCGCGCTCGCCTGTACGGGCCATGAGCTACGTCGCGGCGGAAACGGGCGCCAAGGCGCGCAGGGTGGTGCGCCTGCGCTGGCCAGGCGCGATCGACTGGGACGACGTGGCGCGGGTGGCGGCTGCTGTCGTGAACGAGCTGCGGAACGCCTAATGCGACGAGGTCGACCTCTGCGTGGCGGGTCCTCGTGCTGTGCCGACGTCCCAGGCTGTGCTGGATGAGCTGGGGGCCGCGCGCCACTGCCCCGCTCTCCCCGGTCGCGAGGGACGGGTGCCGCGAGGTCTGCGGGCAGGGGGGGCCCATCTGCGAGCTGGCCTGGCAGCGCGAGGGAGCCCGCCGGCTGGGGCTGCAGCAGGCCCCACGGCGGCGCGTGGTCGTTGGTTTGCGGACTCGCTCCGATATCACTTTGCCCTGTACGGGGAGGACAACCTGCAGCTGGACAGCGCTGCAGGCTCCGCCCCTCGCCTCCCCTCCAGCTCGGAAATGGAGAGGACGCTCGGCTTCGATGTGAACTACGCGCCCGTAGCCGCGAAGGGCTCGAACGAGCGCGGCTGCAGCGGCGCGCGGGCCTTCCTCCTGGGCAGCAGCTTCAGCGCCTATGTCGTCGCATGGCTGGCGCAGGCGGTGCTGCTGGAGGCGAAGACGCTGGGCGGGCCGCTGGAGGTGCAGGAGCTGGTGCACTTTGGCTGACGCCGACCGTCGCGGGGCGCCATCGGGAGGTACGAGAACGAGGCGGGGGGCCCAGACGCCTTGGCCTCGCGACGGCTGGCGCTGCACTGCCTGGCCCGAGCGGAGAAGGGCTGGACCGACGTGCCTGGACTGTGGCCTGCCTTAAAGGCCACGCGGGCGGCCGCGGTCGAGCCTCGATCCGCTGTCGCGGCGGTGGCGCGCGGCGCTGAGGACGGCGCGGCCTGCGGCCAAGAGCGCCCGCGTAAACGTTCGATAGCTGCAGGCGGCGGCGGCGGCGCTGCGGCGGCGCGCCCGCAAGGCGAGTCGGCGCTGGGGCAGGTGGCCCCATCTCGTCGACAGCCAGGTGGTCGCGGCGATCGTGGCGAAGGGCAGGAGCAGCAGCCGCCGCCTCCAGCCCGCGTTGGCCAGGTGGGCCGCGGTCGCGGTGGCCGCCGACATGTGCCCAGTCGTCGGCTACGTCGTGTCGGAGGACAACCCCGCCGACGGACCGTCGAGGAGGTTCTGGCGTGGCTCGCGGCTCAGGACCGCCGCGCCCAGGCCGCCCAAGCTGCACCTCTCGCGCCGCGGGGGCCCCCCGCCGCGCGTGCTCGGCTGTGGCCAGGCGCCCTGCGAGCCCAGTCGCTGTTCCTGCTCCGCGTGGGCGTTGCGACGAGACGCCGGCATTCCACTGCGGTCAGCCGCCTGCTGGAGCACCATGGCGTCGCAGGGGGCGGCGTCGAGGCGCTGGGCCACGAGGGCGAGGGCGCCGACGCGCTCGTCTCGGGGTACCTGGGGGTCCTCTGGGCTTCGGGCGCAGGCATCGCGGCGGCGAACAACGCGGTGGCTGGCGCGCGTTTCTTCAGCCCGCCTCTCAGACGCCGCTTGGACCTGAGCTGGGCGCTGCTGAAGACCCGGCGGAAGAGAGAGCCCGCGGAGCGCGTGCCCCCGTTCACGCCTGAGATCGCGGGGGCCATGGCTGGCCTAGCGCTGGAGGCAAGCTCCGTCGACGTGGCGTGCCACCTCATGGTTGCCTTCGAGGGCCTGCTGCGCGGCGGCGAGACCTTCGCGCTGCGCAGTGGCGACGTGGCTTTCCGAGGCCAGCGCGCCGCCCTCCGCATCGCCTCGTCTAAGGGCTCAGCGGGGCGCGACGCAGCGGAGGCGGTCGTCATCAGGGCGCCGATCACCCTCCAGCTGCCGCGGCTCGTCACGCGCGGTCTGGACGAGGGTGACAGGCTCAGCGCGCGGTCGCCGCGCCAGCTGCGGGCGGCCCTCGCAGCGCTTGTAGCAGGCCTCGGTTTCCAATGCCCGTTCAGCCGGCACAGCTGCCGCCGCGGCGGCGCGCCAGAGTGTTTCTTGCGGACCAAGCGTATGGAGCTCACCTTGGTCCGTGGGCGTTGGGCCAGCAGCCTCACGGCCCGTATATATGTGGAGGGCGCGCTGGCTGACCTCGCGCGGGTCCAGCGCGGTGATGCGCAGTCGACGCTCGTCCGACAGGGGCTTCGATCACTGCGCATCTTCTCCGAACTGCCCTAGTGCAGTATATGTTTTTATTTGTGTGTAAACGTTCACGTTTTTCAGCACCTCCTTCTCACCCACCCTTCCTCTCGAGGCTGGAGGCCCCATGGGCAAGCCAGCGTTGGCCTGTGGGGTGCCACGGCGTCCCTGTGGGGGTCCAGGGCCGTCGCGGGACGATGCGGCGGCCCACCGCCCTCAGCTTGGCGCAGCCGCTTCGGGGTCTGCACAGGGGCGCCGTGGTCGCAGGTGTTGGCAGTGTCTTGGGCGGGGCACAGGTTGTACGCAAAGAGGGGGCATCCCTTTTTTCCCAGGTCTGGCCTCAGAGGTCCTCTTCCTGTCTCGCCCATGGGCTAGCCAACGGTGGCCTGTGGGGTGCCACGTCGTTCCTGGGGGTCCTGGCCCGTCCTGGGCCGTTTCGGCGGCCCCCCGCTTTCGGCGAGGCGCAGCTGTTGCGTGAGCGTGCCAGGGACGACGTGGCCGCAGGTGTTGGTGGTGTTTTGAAAGGGTTCAGGTTACAGGCAAGAGGTTAAGACCTACTTCTCACCCGCCCCACCTCTTCGGAGTCCCCTCGCAGGCGAGAGGCGGCGGCCCTCTCCCGACCCACCTTCGACAAACCTCGTCCCGATCGCCCCGAGAGAAGGCGCGGGCTGCAGGGTGAGGCGGCGCGGTCAGAGGCAGAGAGGATTTTCTTAACCGGCCTCACGGCCACTAGGGTTGGGTGTGGAACTACGGGGGGGGGCTTAAAAGCGGCCCGTTAGGCCAACGTGTGGGGAAATTGGGCTACGCTCGGCGTCCCCACCAGCGTTTCGGGAGAGGGCGGCTTGCAGTCAGGGGCCGCCCTCGGGGGCCCGCCGACGCGGTCGGTGGAGGGCCCCCCGATTCGGGCCGAATGCTCTCGGACGAGGCGCTGCGTTCCCTGGGGCCGCGGCGCTTGTCCGCGGAAACGATACTGGGGGGTTAGAGGGGCGTCAGAGCGTAGTTTCCATTCGCAAGAGAGCGCCTGCCCCAAAAAATGTATGGCCGTATACACGCATGTGTATGTTCATACGATGAGGGTGGGTGCGCTTATCGCCGTCTGCTACACGTAGCCTCTTGAGGCTCCTTCCTACTGACCACCCTGTGTAGCTTGCTCGTGTGTTATCCCGATATGATGCCTGAGCCCAGGGGGTACACTCGGCGTCCCCCCCAGCGTTTCGGGAGACGGCGGCTTGCGGTCAGGGGCCGCCCTTGGGGGCCCGCCGACGCGGTCGGTGGAGGGCCCCCCGATTCGGGCCGAATGCTCTCGGACGGGGCGCTGCGTTCCTTGGGGCCGCGGCGCTTGTCCTCGGAAGCGATACTGGGGTATTAGAGGGGCGTCAGAGCGTAGTGACCATTGGCGAAGGAGCGCCTGCCCCAATACACGTGTATATATGTGCATATATATATATATATATATATATATATATATATATATATTAACAAGACATCATTGGCGCTTCGCGCCGTCATTTTTGGTCTTTCAGGGTTGGCATGCAGACAAAAAGGCGATAAGGTAAAACTGCACATTTAGCAACAACTCCTTGTTGTTTTTTCTAGCATCGTCGCTGTAACAATGTTATTCGTGATCCTTCCCTCATGTTTCCTCTTCCTCTTCCTCATTCTCGCCCTACTCTGCGAGTTCGCCACCATCCGTAGTGATTTGTGTGGAGGCTCATCCTAGGAGAGTCTCTTGTAATTCTCATGAAGGTTTTGAAGGGTTTGTTGGGGCCTTCTGGCAGCCTCCTGGGTTCCCTCTGGGGGCCACGGGGAGCTCACCCTGGCCACCCTGCTTCCAGCCGCGGTTTCCCTGAACGACGAGGTCACTATTTGGAATGATTCGGGAGGCGTCTTGGGGCCACCTTGGGCCGTCATGGGGCTCCCTTGGCTAAAGACGCCGCTGTGGTCCCAGGGGGCCCAGGGGCGGGCGGGGGGCGTGGCGGGGCGCGCTGCGGGCAGGGCGCGGGGGGAGGGGGGGGGGTCGGGGCGGCCTGAGCAGGGCGCTGCTCCCCCTCCGCCTCCCCGCGGGACTCCGACGAGGAGAGCAGGCCCCCGACCAGCGCCATGGGCGGCCGCCTCTGCCCGGCGACCCGGGTTCTGCGCTGCTGCTGCTGCTGCGGCCGCGCGCGGGCTCCGCAGGCCGCGCCATTGCTGGGCCCCGACGCCCCCTTCCCCTTCGTCGTCGGGCCGGGGGAGCAGGCGCCCCGCGTGCGGTGGCGCGACCTGATGCCGGAGTGCATGTACGACAGGACGGTGCGTCGGGGGATGGGCAGGACCCCCCACAGTGGCACGTCGATTCGTGCATTGTCCGTTTGCGGTTCTCGAGAGGGCGCCGCGGCCGTCGTTTTCCAGGCCTGCGCCCGCCAGGCTTGGGCCTCAGGGCGTTTTCACTAAACCGCGTTTTACTAAAGGGGGGTCTGTCCATCCCCGAGGTGCGGGATGTGGCCATTCGCGTCCACGAGGAGAAGAACGATGAGCCGATCCCGCTGCAGTGCGTGGTCGGCCCCGCCGTCCCCATCGCGTTCTTTGCCTTGTGCGTGACCTGGATGGCGTGGGAGGCTGTGCCTGTCTTCGCGCAGACATTGTCCAAGCCACCCACCAGCGACTTGCAGTTCCATTGGGCGAATTGGTACTGCGAGACCTTTGCGATGGTGTTCTGGGGAGCAGTCCTGTGGGCGATGGTCTGCTTGGACTTCCGCTGTGCGAAGTATGCCTGGATCCCACAGTTGCAACTGACCACCCATTTCTCTGTGTTGGGATTCAAGACCAAGTGGAGCACGTTCCTCGTCGTTGAGTCCGTCGTGTCCTTCATCGGAAAGGTCGACCTAATCACGAGCGGTTTGTTCCTCGCAGCGGCCCAGGAAGTGGCCAACGAGCAAACTCACCTCGGAAGCCAGGTGCACTGCGTCTGGTCGGAAATTCACCCATGGAGCCCGTTATCTCTGGTCGGTCTCGTAAGTGTCTCGTGGTGGGCGATGTTGCTCCAGCCTGCGTTCCTTATTGTGAAAGCGATGCCGGCTCAGACTCTGAGGTATTGGTTCAACAGTCTGGGCGGAGATCGCGGGGAGCGGTGGTGGCAGTCCATCAAAAGGTGTCGGAGGTGGAAGAACGACCGGGGGAGTGAAGACCCACAACGCTACGACGTGGAAAGTTACGAGGTGCGGTATTTGGAAGCAACCAGTGAATCTGCCCTGGCGTTCATGGACAAGAGGGCGAACGACCACAGCAGGGGCCACTACTACCCCACTTTGCTCTGCAGCGGCGATGAGATGAGCAGCCATTCCACCGCTTTCTGGCCGCTGGCGGATGCCTCTCGCATGCAGCTCGCCACCACGATGCGCAGCGAGTACACCCGGCTCTTGGTTCGGGCGTGCCTAGACCGCGGCAACGAGAAGTCAGCAGGCGGTCACATGAAGCGTCAGATGGAATCCATAATCGTCAAGGTATTCTTCTCGGGAATTGTCCAGGCATTGTTCCAGTTGAATCTGTCGCTGGAGCTACTGAACATGGCACGCGCTGTCACTGGCGAATTCCCGAGGACTGCGGGCCTTGCTGCTTTTGTGACGCTTGTAAACATCATGAAGACACTGAAGGATGCTTTTAAGGTTCATGCATGGATTTCCAAACACGACCTGAGCGCATTCAGGGAGGTGGAGCGGCGTAATGCGCTGAGGCGCCGCACGATCCAGCTGCGGTGTGTGATTGTTCTGCACACAGTGCTGATGTTCGCCACTGCGATTAAGCTCTGGTTGGTAATGCAGCCACTCTTAGATCCTAGCATCTGTCCGCAAGGCCTCTTCCAGTTTGATGCTCTCGGCTGCGTAAAATTGCCGCCGAAGTGCTTGTACGGTGCTTGAGGCTCATACCACCCTGAAGATTATGCAGTTCGAGATCCATCCTGTTGCGGCCCCTGTCCCATTCAATTGTTATTACGCCAGGGTGGTAGGCACAGGTTACGGGCCGCTTTGTAGACACGTATTTGCGGCAGGGTTTTGTGCAGGGTGGGCGTTTCGCCCCGTTGCGTGAGAATCAGGATGTTTGTATGCCTGTCTGCTTGAGTGCCTAGTACACCTTAGGCGATGCTTAAGAAAACCTAAGTTTTCGGCCAGAGGCTCGATTATTCTTAATGATTCAATGTAAATCCTAAGATTGTAATAGAAATGTTGGGTTTTAGTTCAAGTTCTGAGACGATGAATTTCTTAACCCATGATTTCTTGAGCATTTCGCAGGGTGTAGATTTGTGCACACTAGCTCAGGCATGTCATGGCCACAGTCAATCCTCACAGAACTCGAGAGCTGGCGCAGCGCGCCCCTGAAAAAAGTGCTGACGCTCCTGACGCTCCTGACGCTCCTTGACGCTCTGACGCCCCTGAAGCCCCTGACACTCCAGGCGTCAGGGGCGTCAGGAGCGTCAGGGGCGTCAGGGGCGTCAGGGGCGTCAGGGGCGTCAGGGGCGTCAGGAGCGTCAGGAGCGTCAGGAGCGTCAGGAGCCGCAGGAGCGTCAAGAGCGTCAGGAGCGTTAAAAGCGTCAAAAGCGTCAGGGAGCGCCAGGGAGCGTCAGGGAGCGTCGGGGGGCGTCGGGGGCGCCAGGAGCGCCAGGAGCGCCAGGGGCGTCCACAACTCCGGCGCCGCCGCCCGAGACTTCCTCGCATTTCCGGCTCCGCCGCTCGAGACGCGGTGAGGCTGGAGGACGGAAGGGGGGGAGGGAGAGGGGGGCTCGACGGAGACAGGAGGGAGGAAGGCTGGGAAGGGGGGAGGCTGGCTGGAAGGGGAGAGGCTGGAGGGAGGGAGGGGGGAGGACGGAAAGAGGGTGGATGGAGGGAGGCTCGAGGGATGAAAAGGCGGCCGGCGGGAGGCTGGATGGAGGGGCGCTGGATGGTGAAGGGGTGGGGGAAGCACGGATGAAGGGATGGAGGGGCGCTGGATGGAGGGATGGGGTTGGATGGAGTCACGGGTCGGAGGAGGGATGCTGGAGGGATGGAGGGAAGCTGGATGGAAGGAGTGAGGAGTGAGGAGTGAGGAGGAGGAGGAGGAGGAGGAGGAGGAGGAGGAGGAGAACGAATGGTAAGAAGCGGATAGGGGACACTTTTAGCCCAACCTCTCGATCGACGGATTTGGCAAGTGAATTGCGACGCGATGGTATCAGAGCAGGTCCCGGGGATGTCCCGTACGAGGCGCTCGATTGGCATCCCCGACTCCTTTGCATTTACAGTGAGCGGCTTGAGTAAGGAACACTTATTTTTCAAAAGGGGCTCGGTCGTTCCTTAAGGCTTGCATGCGTTACGTATCGTTCCTTATGCGTTTTATATTATTTATCGTTCCTTATGCTTTTTTCCTTGGAAAACAGGGGCTTCGTTCCTTATTAAACGTTCCTTAGGTCAGGCCGATGACATTAGAGCCCCACTCGGGGGGCCCTCGTCGCCACGACTGGATTCGCTTTCGCTTGCGCCACAGTGATTCACCACGGTGGGCACGGCTTACACCACGGTGGGCGCGGCTCTTGGCGGCCAATATCCGGTCCTATTGGCTGCCATCGGGTGCTATCTGCTTCTGTCGGCTCCTGGCGGCTACACTCGGCTGTTATACGATCTTGCATGCTTACACTAGAACTACCCGAGTGTTAAGCCCAGGGTGACGAGGGGGAAGCAATAAGGAGCATCCTCACCTTTCCTCCTCTTCTTCCTTCGGTTTTCCTGCTCACGCCCTTCACTATCCCGTTACTGCTTCTTCTCATGTTGCTCCACGTTCTCCACCTCGCCTTCCTCGTCTTTCCTCCCGCCACCGTGCCTGGGATTGTGGTCATGGGCTTCTTGGATGTTCGTCGAGATGTCGCGGGAGATCTCTGGAGGACCTGTTGGAGGCAGTTGCGATGTGATGTCTCTTGGGGTCGTTCTGGGGCTTTGGTGTGGCTCGGGGGCTTCTTGGGGGGTTTCTTGGGGGCCTCTTGGGGTCTCCTGGTGGCATCTTGGGGCGGAAAGCTCGAGCTGTCGGTTCGGGCTCAACCCCGGGAAGCACGCGACGAGGACTAAAGCTTGGAGTATCAGGCAGGGGACCTGGGGGCATTCCAACTCGCGCCTCAGGGCGCGGTGGCGGATTCGGCCACCCCGTTCGTCTTCCTCTCCTCCATTCCTCCTCGCCCATCGGCCGCCGCGTCAGCGATCTACGTGCCAGTCGTTTGCCTAGCCCCCCCCCCTCGACTTCCTCTTTCCTCTCGCTCTGCCGCCCGCGCTCGGAGAGAGCAGGATGAGGCAGGGATGTCCAGACGATGAGGGAGATGAGGAGCACGAGAAGGAGCGTGCGGAGGAGGGACATGCCCCGCGCGGGCAGGTGACATCGCGCTGTGTTTTTTCCCGCCCACCACAGGTGGGGGATCCTACACGGGGGGATCTTACACGGGGGGGTGCTCTTACGGCGGCGACTGGCCCTGGAGCCCGACGACGGCCCCTTAGGGGCCGAAACCGTGCCGGAAACGTAGTCGTCGTTTCCGCCGCCGCCGCCGGTTCCGCCGTCGTCGTCGTCGTCGTCGTCGTCGTCGTCGTCATCGCCGTCGCTGCATCGTCGTTGTCGTCGCCGCTCCCGCCGCCGCCGTCGCCGCCGCCGTCGTCCACCGTCGTCGTCCGTTCGCCGTCGATCGTCGTCGTCGCGGTGCTCGGTTTTCGGCCCCTGGGGGGCCCCTTTCGGGCCCCGGTGCCCTCGGCAGCGGATCCGGCGTCCAAAATTGCCACGAGGGGAGGCCCCCGGGGACGCCGTCGTCGTCGTCGTCGTCGGTCGTCGTCGTCCGTCGTCGTCGTCGTCGTCGTCCGTCGTCGTCGTGGGCCGTCCTTGTCCTCGTCGTCGCCGTCGTGCGTCGTTGTCGTCGTCGTCGTCGCGCAACTCGTCGTCGCCGCCGCCGGCGTCGCCGTCGTCGATCGTCGTCGGAGGTTTTCTGGGATTTTCGAAGGTTCCGAAGTCTTCGGCGGTCCTAGGAAGTCTTCGAAGGTTTTCGGTAGCTCTCGGAAGTTTCGTCGAAAGTTTTCACATCCTCGAGGGCTCTCGGAGGCTCTCGGAAGTCCTCGAACGCTCCCGGAAGCCTTCGGAGGTCCTCGGAGGCCCTCTTCGCCGCCGCCGAAGCCGTCGCCGCCGCCGCCGCATGCCGCCGCCGCCGCCACCGCCGTCGTCGTCGTCGTCGTCGTCGTCGTCGTCGTCGTCGTCGTCGTCGTCGTCGTCGTCGTCGTCGTAGTATGTCGTAGATTTTTTGTCGATCCCCGACCTTCAAGGATTCTTCCTCGCTTCCGGCCCCTGGGGGCCGCTTTCGGGGCCCGGGACCGTCAGAAACGAGTCCAGGACGAAAAACTACCCCGGGTTGCCGTCGTCGTCGCGCATATCTCCGACGAAGGCATCTATACACCACCACCGTGTCAGGCCAGGGCCATCCTGGGCCCCAGGATGGTGTATCGACCCTCCTGACCTCGGCCAGGAGGGCGTATACACTATGCCAGGGCCAGGATGGCCCTGGCATGGCGCGGTGGTGGTGTATAGATGCCTTCAGCGTATAATGTCCTCCCCGTCCTCTCCTCCTGTCAGGCTTCGAGGGCCGAGACCTCCTTGTGAGCGCATCAGGGTGTCTTGGGATGGCCCCTCGTCGTGGGCCTTCCAGGGGGCTCTCGGGGGCCCTTCTTGGAGGGCTTCCTGGGAGCCTCTGAGTAACCTTTGTGGAACTCTCTTGGGGCCTCCTTGGAGCCTCCTGGGAGCATCTGGGGGGCCTTTTGGGGCCTCTTGAGGGTCTCGTGTTGACTTGCTGGCGGTCTCGGGGGTCGACTTGGGCAGAGGGCTCGAAATATCTGTGCGTGTTCCCGTCTTTGGATTCTCTTGAGGCTCTCTTGGGCCGTCTTGGGGGCATGTTTGGCCGTCTTAGGGCTCTCTCCCCAGAGGCCCCCAACACACCCCAGACTCCTGAGAAGCCCCGAAAAAGCCCCGACGCGGCCCCAAACACGGCCCTCAAGTTGGGACTCTGCTCCCTATCCTCTTCCTCGACATCTTCTCGTCCATCCGCTTGGGCTGTCCTGGGGGCCACCCTGGGCGAACCTGGAGGCCCTCTTGGACCGTCTTGGCCGTCTCTCCCGGGTTTCGCGGGCGGCTGGCGGGCTGGGCCAAGACCCCATCTGGGAGTGCTTTGGACAAGAGACAACACCTTTCAGAAATTTAGCACGCCCTCCTCCCTCCTCCCTCTCTCCCTCCTCCCTCCTGCCTCCTCCCTCCTCCCTCCTCCCCCCTCCCTCCTCCCCCCTCCCCCCTCCTCCCTCCCTCCTCCCGCCTCCCTCCTCCCTCCTCCCCCCTCCCCGCTCCTCCCTCCTCCCGCCTCGTGCACCCGTGTGATAAATCACTAGGGAGCGGCGGATGCAATGGCCTTCGGCCCATCGCGCCACCGTGCCTGGGTTGTCGATGGTCTCGGGGGCCTCTCGGAGGGCTCTCGCGGGCATCTTGGGGGCCACCGTCTTGGCCGTCTTCGACGCGATGGAGCCAATGCGGAACGAATTTTACGGGGCTTTCCGGGTGGCCAGCGGGTTGGGCCGAGACCCTATTGGGAGTTTGTTTGAAAAGAAACAACATCTTTCAGAAATTTGCTCGCCGTGCACCCGTGTGATAAATCACCAGGGAGCGGCGGATGCAATGGCCTTCGACCCATCGCGCCACCGTGCCTGGGTTGTCGATGGTCTCGGGGGCCTCTCGGAGGGCTCTCGCGGGCATCTTGGGGGCCTCCAGGGTCCTCCTGGGGGCCTCTTCGGTGCCTCTTCGGCGCCTAGCTTCGAGGGGGGTCCAAGAAAGGCCCAGGAGGGCATCGAGAGCTCGCGGAGGGATATTTCAGGACAGCACCCGGGGGCGCCCAAGGTAAGTACAATCAAGCCCCCAGGGAGGTGGCGCCTCTAGAGCGAAGCCCTGAGAGGCTCGAAACACCTGCAGCCACTACGCGGTAAGTCCGTGTAGTGTCGACGCGGCGGCGACCTTGTGCGCAGGCCTTCAAGGTTGAACGACCCCAGTGGCGGCGAGCGAGCCGGCCCGTATCCAACGATCTGTGCTATCGAGAAGCCGCGATCTTTTCGTCTCGTGATTACCATATCACTACAGTTTCTTCGGCACTGACTGCAGTACTGACTGGGCGCCCCCCTCCCCCGCCGCCGTCATTTTGAGCTGATTTTGGCCAGCGAGCCCGGCACCATTTTGTGCGACCGCAGGCGGGTTGAAATGCGTCGCTTGGTTGGGAATTGAAAAGTATCGCCGTTCCGCGTCACGCGGCACGCCTTTTCATAGAATTGCAAATCTTTCTTTGGAGAGTCGCGT